AATGCCCCGCCTCCACCTCACGGATTAAGTAAAATAACGTCAAGAGTAGTGGTATTTCACCGGCGGTTTCCCTCCCACTTATGCTACACCTCGTGAGTCATTTCACAATGTCAGACTAGAGTCAAGCTCAACAGGGTCTTCTTTCCCCGCTGATTTTTCCAAGCCCGTTCCCTTGGCTGTGGTTTCGCTGGATAGTGGGTAGGGACAGTGGGAATCTCGTTAATCCATTCATGCGCGTCACTAATTAGATGACGAGGCATTTGGCTACCTTAAGAGAGTCATAGTTACTCCCGCCGTTTACCCGCGCTTGGTTGAATCTCTTCACTTTGACATTCAGAGCACTGGGCAGAAATCACATTGCGTCAACATCCGTCGGGACCATCGCAATGCTTTGTTTTAATTAAACAGTCGGATTCCCCTTGTCCGCGCCAGTTCCGAGACGACCGCTCTCCGCCCAGGGGAGGGTCCCCGTGAAGGGACCGCTCTGCGCCCGTCGGCCAGCAGGCACGCGGGGGCCCGCCCTTACCGGGGTGAACCGGCGTCGGGTAGACCTCCGACAGCCTGCGGCGTCGAGGCGCAGCCCCCCGGGCCCGGCCCTCGGAGCCAATCCTTTTCCCGAGGTTACGGATCCGTTTTGCCGACTTCCCTTACCCACATTAATCCATTGACCAGAGGCTGTTCACCTTGGAGACCTGATGCGGTTATGAGTACGACCGTGCGTGAGCAGTATTCGCTCCTCCGGCTTTTCAAGGGCCGTTGGGGGCGGTCCGGACACCGCGAGACGTGCGGTGCTTTACCAGCTGCGCAGGCCCTATCTCCGTGCAAGCCGATTTCAGGGCCATCGAGCTGTGAAAAAGAAAAGACATCTCTTCCCCGGAGCCCCCGCCGACGTAACCGGATTCGCTCGCGTTGCCGCCAGCTGCCACGTCCCCGGTTCGGGAATTTTGACCCGATTCCCTTTCGATGGGCGGCGCGGGGAGAACCGCGCCGTTCTCAAGGAGTTACCCCATCTCTTAGGATCGACTAACCCATGTGCAACTGCTGTTCACATGGAACCTTTCTCCACCTCAGTCTTCAAAGTTCTCATTTGAATATTTGCTACTACCACCAAGATCTGCAGCGATCGGGAGCTCCACGCGCGCTCACGCGCACGCTTCGATGCATCCCACCGCGCCCTCCTACTCGCACCGGCTCACCAGCAGCCGGGTGCGGCCGGGTATAGGTCACGCGCTTGAGCGCCATCCATTTTCGGGGCTAATTGATTCGGCAGGTGAGTTGTTACACACTCCTTAGCGGATTTCGACTTCCATGACCACCGTCCTGCTGTCTTAATCAATCAACACCCTTTGTGGGATCTAGGTTAGCGCGTAGTTAGGCACCGTAACCCGGCTTTCGGTTCATCCCGCCTCGCCAGTTCTGCTTACCAAAAATGGCCCACTTGGCACTCATGTTGGTGGGGTCAGCCAGCACCCCTGAAAGCCAGCCACAATTAAGATGGCGGCCCTCCTCGCCCGTTTAAAGTTTGAGAGTCGGTCGAGGGAGCTTCTCCCCCGAGCCCGCCAATCATTCGCTTTACCAGACGTAACCACGTATCGAGCACCAGCTATCCTGAGGGAAACTTCGGAGGGAACCAGCTACCAGATGGTTCGATTAGTCTTTCGCCCCTATACCCAAGTCTGACGAACGATTTGCACGTCAGTAGCGCTGCGGGCCTCCACCAGAGTTTCCTCTGGCTTCGCCCTGCTCAGGCATAGTTCACCATCTTTCGGGTCCCAACGCGACTACTCAACGCACCCCGGGCGCCGAGGCCCCCGGGGCGGTCCGTGGTGCGGGCAGCACGAGGCCGCCTTCTCACGGGTCGCTTTCACTGTCGCCATTGTGGTTTCCAACCCATTGGCTCGCAGCCGCGTTGGCCTCCTTGGTCCGTGTTTCAAGACGGGTCGCATCAGCCCGTTTCGGCCAGCGCCGACCCGTGAGGGTCATCCTCGGTCTCCGCCGCGGTGGGAGCGAGCTCCTTTTCCCGCGGCATCGACCGGCGCTGCGTACCTCCGGGCCCCGCGCGAACGGGGCCCGCAGGTTTGCTTGGGCTCATGCGCTTATCCTCCTGACGATTTCAAGCACTTTTTACTCTCTTTCCAAAGTTCTTTTCATCTTTCCCTCGCGGTACTTGTTCGCTATCGGAAACCTGGCCGTATTTAGCCTTGGATGGAGCTTACCACCCATGTTGGGGCTGCACTCCCAAGCAACCCGACCTCTTCGGATGCGTCTCGTGGAGTGACGGGTCGTCGCCCGACGGGGGTGTCACCCTCTCTGCCGCCACTTTCCAGTGGACTTAAGGCGGCGCCCGTCACAGAGAACGCTTCCTTTTCAGACTACAATTCGGAGGGCCGGGGGCCCTCGGATTTCAAGCCTGGGCTTTTCCTTGGTCGCTCGCCGCTACCAAAGGAATCACGGTTGTTTTCTTTTCCTCCGCTTAGTAATATGCTTAAATTCAGCGGGTGGTCTCGCCTGACTTGAAGCCATCGTTTGGGGTTTGCCCGGTTCCTCCCCGTCCGACCATTTTTGTACGAGCCCCGTCCGCCTCTCGCCCGTTCTTGTGCGCTACTTTGGAGGGGGAGACCGGGGGTTGCCACGCCCCCGGCTCCCGAACCTTTTCGCGACCGTCTCGGGAGAGAAAAGAGGGACCGAGTGACCGGCCCCCCCACCTGCTGGGAGGTCCGGACGGAGTCCGTTGGCCGGCTGGGTTCGCCGAGCCCAGCGGGGTCGCCGCCCGCCTCATCTCGCTCGTCCCACTCGCGTCCTCCCGGGTGGCGCCCGGGGATCTGCACTGGGGTCGAGAGGAGCGGAGACGGGCTAATGCGGCCCTGCGATTTCAACCGACTGCCCCCCATTTGTGCCCCGGAGCGCACGGGTTGCGACGGCCATCTCGTTTTCCCAGGTACGAGCGATTGTCTCGGAGAAAGGGGGGGGCCGGAGCCCACACCAACCCGAGCGCCCCTTGTCTGCCCCGCATTGCTTTCCCGTCCCGTTTCCCCTGCCGCACTTAGCTGCGTGCGGAGGGGTGGGTTCGGATGCGAGGTTCCACCTGGATGTGTGTGGCGTTCAAGCAGACGTGCCCTCGGCCGAGGCCTCGGGCGCAACATGCGTTCAAAGTTTCGATGATTCACGGAGTTTTGCAATTCGCATTACGTATCGCATTTCGCTGCGTTCTTCATCGAGCCAGGTTCCAAGATATCCATCGTCAGGAGTGGGGTCCCAGTTTTTATTAGGTGCCGGGGCCCGTGGGCGCCCCCGCTCAAGGGAGGGTTTTTTGCGACCGGACGGCCAGTTCCGGTTGCGGAGAGGTTTGTATTCCGCCTCTGCCCGCAGCTCCTTGATGCACTGCGAGCGGGACGGTTGGGGGTAGCAAAAGGGTCCCTTTGCCATCACCGCGGGCGCCCCTTCCCGAGCCTTCCTAGAGGAATTCAGAAGGCCGGGCGAGCAAGACCCCGCAGTCACACCGCCGATGCCAAGAGAGACCGAGCACCGGTGGCGGGGGACGCTGGATTGGGAGGAGGAGCGTCGGAAGGAAAGGTGTTCAGAGGATACTCGAGGTCAGGCCCCGGGCTTTCCCTCGCTTGCGCTTGGTAGGCCCGAGCTGTTTCCATCAGGGCTGGGGAGTTTTTTTTTTTGTCCGCATGGACGCCCGGTGCCGCCGGGTTGCTGCATTCCCTGGTGTCGAGGCTCGTCACGAACTGGAAGGAAAGAGCTTCGGGTGCCACCCCTCCGCCCAGGCCGACCGTGTCCGCGTCTTGCCTCGCTCCCCGATCGCGGCTAGCCTTTCGGGTGGCGGCCCTAATAAGCTCGCTGCGTGAGAGGGGACGGCAACCTGACCTCCTGCGAGAGGAGGTTCGCCCGGTCCCCCCGAGTTGCGAGCAACCCGGAGGACCCGAGGGCGGTCGTTTCGTCACTCGTTCTTAGGGGCGTTTGCCGAGGTCTGGGATCAACCAGGGCGGTGCCCCATGCCTGTCGGGGTGCGCTTTCCGTTCAGCACCACAACGGATCCATCGGTGCTCGGACTTTTTTCGAGCCACCGCACCACGCCAGCTCGCCGATCGCTCGCCAAAACCGACCGACGCGCTCGCGGGGCACGGCCTGAGGTGGGGTTCCTGCATTGTTCCGACGGATCCTCCGACAAGGCCACGGGCACGGAGATCCGGCAGCCGGCTGAACGCCGGTCGTCATCCTTCCGTGCCCTCGAGCGTGCTCTGGACGCTCGCCTCCTCCTAGGAGGAACGCGAGAGCCCGCCATCTCTCTCGTCGCCGCTCGCAGCCCGGGCACGGGTGGAACCCGATTCCTTTTTGCGAGCGGGACGCGAGCACGCGCTTTCCCCACCCAGGAGGCCGATGCAACGCGAGCGCCGCACCTGCCGACCCGGGGTTTGGGCTGCGATTGACCCCGCAACCCAAGGGCTCACTGAGTGTGTCAATGATCCTTCCGCAGGTTCACCTACGGAACGGTGAAATCCTGCATCCTCTTCGGGACGAGGAGCGCGGTCTCCCGCGCTCGCCGACTGTATCTTAGGCCTGCTCGGAGGCAGACCCACCGTCGTTCAGTCTGTGAACTGCCCCTTGCCGGTCTCGGGTCCTGGAGGTAGGACCCGGAGACGGGCCCGGGTTGGCTGCGGATCGTCTCACCCGGCCGTGCGTTGTCACCATACCCCGACGCCTTGTCTGCGTCGGGCCACGCCCCCGGCCGTCTGACCCCGTCGATAAGAGGGGGGCAGCCGAGCCGGGCCGGCGCTTGGTAGCACGGCCTCTCGAGAGGTCTCCGCAGTTGGACGGTGTCGCGCCGAGGGGGGGTCGCGCTCACGGGCCGCAAATCCCACCCCGGTGCACTAGCGCTTAGCGTCCCTCCCCTCTCTATCCGTCGGCGAGAGGGAGAGACGCACCTGCCCCTCGAGAGGCAGGCCGCTCAGGCTTCCGTGTACGTGCAAAGCCCCTGCGGAAGGGGTTTTGTG